GGGCAAACGGATAAAAAAAAAGGACATCATCCATTTCCATCAGTTTTTGTTTGGATCCATTCAGGTTCGTTTTAACCACTTGCCCACCGCCCTATAGCAGAAATACTGCTACAAGGCTGCAGGGCTGCGCAAAATCAGGTATATATGCGTGGTTTCGCATTTCCAGGTATTTCTGGCCATTGACAGCTTCAGCTGTCGATTACCGGGTCCCAGCCAGTGATTCCCCATCGGCATCTGGCGATCGCCGAGTATCTCTGACGGGAGAGAGGTTTTTAAGTAAACAATACAGATCTCTCTCCTGTCAGTTCCAGCACACTGCTTTGTATTGTTCTGCATAGCAGAGCAATTCAAAGCAATGTGCTTACACTGTAAAACACACATACAGTAAAACAGCACACAGTTAACCCTTTGATCGCCCCAGATGTTAACTCCTTCCTACCCAGTGTCATTAGTACAGTGTCAGTGCTTTTTATTAGCACTGATCACTGTATTAGTATCACTGGGGAATTCAGTGACAGTTAGTCAGCCCCCCCAGCGTCAGAATGCCTGCTGCAGTCCCGCAATAAGTCGCTGATTGCCGCCTAGTATTACTAATATGAAAAAAAAAATTCAAGTATATGTACTGCCATTTGTAGACACTATAACTTGCATGGAAACCAATTAATTTACACGTATTAGGATTATTTGTTAGCAAAGATATGTATCAGAATACATTTTGGCCTAAATTTATGACGAAATTTGATTTTTGAAACATTTTTTACTGGACATATTTAATAGCAAAAAGTAAAAAAATAGTTTTTTGATCAAAAGTGTCCGTCTTTTTTTGTTTATAGCACAAAATATAACATGCAGAGGCAATCAAATACCACCAAAAGAAAGTTCCATTTGTGGGAAAAAAAAGGACATAAATTTCATTTGGGTACGGTGTTGCATGACCGCGCAATTTTCAGTTAAAGTAACACAGCGCCGTATCGCAAAAAATGGCCTGGTCAGGAAGGGGGGTAAATCCTCTGGAGGGCAAGAGGTTAAACAGAATAACTCTGTATATTTGTTCCCTTAAAAAACGAAAAGGACAAAAAACAGATGTAAACACTCAGTTTTTGCATTGGTAGTGGATGTGAAAAACTGATGTAAAAACAAATGTAAAAACTGATGTACAACTAATGTAAAACTGATTTGTTTTAAAAGACTGATGAGAAAAATGGAATGTCTTTGTTAAAGGGGCCTTTTGCCCAGTAAACAAGACCCCTTACTTGACCTACTAAAGTGTATACTCAAAATGACTAACAGGTTTCAGATAACCGTCACCTGATCTCTTCTGTGATTAACCACTTCAGTATCAAGCGCTTTCACCCACTTCCCGCCCAAGCCAGTTTTCAGCTTTCAGCATTGTCACACCGTGAATGACAATTGCACACTCATGCAACACTGTACCCAAATAAAATTTTTTGAATTTTTTTGAGCCAGATAGAGCTTTCATTTGGTGGTATTTAATCACCACTGGGTTTTTTTTTATTTTTTGCTAAACAAATTAAAACAAAAACATTTTGAAAAAAATTTTTTTCTTCATTTCTGTTCTAGAATTTTGCAAATAAGTAATTTTTCTTCTTCACTGATGTGCACTGATGAGGTTGCACTGATGGGCATTGATGATGATGCTGCACTGCACTGATGAGGCAGAACTGAAGAAGTTGTATTTATGGGCACTGATGAGGCAACACTGATATACTGCACTGATGGGCACTAATGAGGAGGCACTGATGAGGTTGCACTGATAGGCAGCACTGATGGGCACAGATATATTTCACTGATGGGCACAGATAACCTGCACTGATGCTGTCACGTACCTGATGGGAGACTGAAATGACAAGGTCGGCCTCACTTGTGTCACTAGCCCTGACCCCACTGGAGTTGGAACAGAGGGAGTCTAGGGACCAGGGGGACAAGAGCGCCAGTAGTTGTTGTTTGCAGCTCTTGCAGATGATGACCTTGGAGGACTGATGATCTTCTGATTCAGGCACAGTAGTAACAAGCAGAGCAGGTCGTGTAGATCGCCAGGCATGCACCAGAGCAAGGCAGGTGATAAAGGTAAGAGACAGGAGCAGTGTCCTAGGAATAGCCAGGGTCATCAACAGTCGGGCAGCACGGTACATAATCAGAAGGAAAGCCAAGGTCAGGAGCAGAGCTGAAGTCAGGAATCGGTATCAATCAGGAGAGCAATCAGAGTCAGGTGAGGAACAAGCCGGGTCAGCAACAAAGGAATCACACGGGAACAAGCAGGACATGGGGAGCAGAAGACCAGTCAGCACCTAACATGGGCAGAGACACTCTTTAAATAGCCTGTCTGGCGCCAATCTTCGCTGTGCATGCGCATTTCTGCACGCATGCGCACAACCGACAACTCTTCTCCGGGAGTTCTTATGCGTATGCGCACTTCGAATCGCGATTCGTCTTGCCGGAAATTCCTTACAGATGGGCACTGATAAGCTGAACTGATAGGCACTGATTGGCACTGATGGGCCTGCACTGATAATCAGGACATGTGGGAGGACAGCCATGGATGTCTTTTCCAGAGATGGAGAGCTGCGTCGTAGTCATCTTTTGGCTAAAGCGCAGTTTGAAAGAGGTTAATGAACTCCAAAGTGCTCAGCTCTTGTGCATTTCCAGGTTTGGAGCTGTCAAACTCCCCACTGAAAAGCCGGGTAAACAGCTGATTGAGCACAGTCCTGTGTTTTACAGGCTGGATTGAAGGGAGGGGAAAAATTAGAGGTCTAATAGACTCCTGATGTCTCCATAAGGTGTCTATTAGCCTCTTGCAAAAGCTATAAAGTTAAATAAAAAAAAATAAAGTAAAATAAATAAAAATGTAAAAGCAACTCTGTCACCCTGTTCGCACACATGAATGCAAACGCAATTATAGGGTGTGCATATGTAAGTAAACAACAATTGAGCCACACACGTGAAGTATTTTCATGAATTTTGGAGTGAAAGCAATAATTCTAGGGCCATTGTTTACAGTTAACTCTCTAATGATGAGCTGTAAAAGCTTTTAAAGTGCTGTTGTTTTTTGCCATTTCATGGGTACTTTTTAAGATTCAATGTATTTGGTGTCTAGTTACTCAATGCAATTTGATTTTTTATAATTTATTTAAAAAGAGGTATTATATATTATATTCATTCATACACATACTAGGGCCAATTTTGGACAGGAGCCAATTAACCTACTAGCATGTCTTCGGAGTGTGGGAGGAAACCGGAGTATCCAGAGAAAACCCACGCAGGCACAGGGAGAACATGCAAACTCCAGGCAGGTGGTGTCGTGGTTGGGATTCGAATCGATAGCCCTAGTATTGCCAGGCAGAAGTGCTAACCAATTAACCGCTGTGCACTGAAAATATACATTTAATAAACAGTTGCACAAATATTGAGCAACATAAAAATTGGATATACCACCATTTCATTCTACTGGGCCTCTGGTTTCATAAAATATAAAACTGTTTAGGGGTTTTCAGTAATTTTCTGCCAAAAAATGTTTAACATGTGTGTGAAAAGTAAAAAAAATTGCTGATGCAAAGTAGATAAAGTATAACTGACCAAGCTATGGGCATTAAAATATTTATACATTTTTAACAAGCAGTAAATAAGCCATTGACACTTGGGCAACTTGTCATATGACTTTGGACACTAAAGCTGTATGACAAGTCATACCCCATGTTTTTCAATGACAAGCATTCATATATGTATGACCTAAAGTTGCAGCAACTTCAAAGCAGTTCATTTACTACTTTGGTACAACTTTAATACAAATTGAGTGCCATAGACTGCAATGTAAACCCTCAGAAGTCATATGAAAGTTGCTCCTGAATGTTATACATGCAACATGTGTGCAACAGATGGCCATTATCATTAATGAAAGCCAAAATCGTATCCAAGTTGCACCCATCCAAAGCTTTGGAGTCGTACAAGTGTGCATGAAGCCTTAATGTAAACTCTCACTAATGATTCTAGCTACTTGCCACTGTGGAGCAATTCTGTCTCAAGATTCACAATAAAAGCAGTGAAGTAATTGGGGTGAGGTCTCAGTACTTTTCACCCCCTATTCCTGTTGTCCTGCTCTGTGTTAATATTAAAGATTAGAAGACTGACAGGCAGCCAACTCAGTGCTGATAGGGGAGAGATGAGAGAAAGAGCCCGCTCACACCAATTGCATTGAGGTAATCTACAGTAAATGAGTGCATCTCTACAGCATATGTTAAAGCAAGTTACACACATATTTATTCAAAGGCTGCAGCTTATTTATTATGAAATTGCAGCGTACCAGTGTAAATGAACCAAAGTGAAAGTAAACCTGAAAATCTGCCTCTGCCAAATATCTGAGGATGAATTACCCCAGAGTGGATGTAGCTCCTTAAGTATGGTAACTGATGGCTTTTAAAGTTAATTTCCTATTTAGGAATAAGTTATGAGACCCAGTTGGTAAAAGAGAAAAGTTTAAAAGTACCTTTCTGGATGGATGTAGCTGCAGACGTACTATAACTGATGGCTTTTAAAGTAAATTTTCTGTTTCAGAATATGTTATGAGACCCAGATGGTAAAAGAGAAAGGTTTAAAATTATCTTTCCAGAGGCGGTATGTTAAACCTTTGCTCTCTTGCAGATCTCTGAGTGGCACTGCTATTCAATATTTCTGGGTCAGGTAATGTTCCCCCGTAGCACACTGTGGCTTCACCCTCCAGGTGCTATGCCACTACTTATTCCTGTTGTAACATAGCAGCTGGCAGTAGGAACCATGGAGCCCAATAGGGGACAGAATATTACAAACACCCAATAGTGTTTGATAGGAGCTTCATTCCAGCCCATTCAAGCCTCAGAAGCTGTCAGACTGTCATAGGATTTGACAGACTTCTGGTAGTGGTGCTGGATGATGCTATCCAGCTACAGCTTAATATTGGAGCCTCATATACCATTACTAAACATCTAGTGTGCATGAGGCCTTAACTGTCACACATTTGTAGTCTTAATATACGAGTGGGAGCATTGTAACTGGCATACAGGGGCGGCCTCACCATTTGGAAACTCGGGCACTGCCGAGGGCCCTGGGTCAGTAGGGGACCCGCCCCATGAGATGCCCCTGGTACCTTTTTCATAGGCTTTTTTGAGTTTGGGCAAGGACACAGGGATCCCAGGATCCCCTATTGCCCGGGGGCCCCATGAGTTGTCAGTCCGCCCCTGCTGGCATACATTCGGATTTGGGAGTATATGCTGCTTAGCAAACCACATTTGTTAGTGAATTAGCTGTATTAACATTTACATAGATATGTGCAACTCTGTGAACATCACCTGCCTTTAGTAAATGCAGAGAGAATGCCTTGGTTGTTCAAATGGTTTTGGAGGCACCTCCGTGAAACAGCACATGCATATTTTCTTTAGTAAATCAGGATCACTGCCAAATCATAAATCCTGTTTGCAATATACATGTCAGCAAGCAGGTTTATCCCAAATAATAAACATATTTATTGATTAAAAAAAAAATAAATGCAACTACAGTTGTGTTCAGAAAGCAAAATCATAAATTAACTCTATACTTTGTAAGAATTTTTGAAAACCCCCTTGCTCTGTTCTGTTTGTTTCACTAGGCCATTTAACAAATGGGTTTCTAAATGGAAAGGTATTACGCCAAAATATAAACTCCTGTTGTAGGGTATGGCTATATTGTGACTTGTATTTTAGAGCGAACATATGATAAAAGCAGTGAACCAATCACACAGCCATGAAACAAGTGGTACACAGAACACCTGCAGGTTGCCATATTTTCATGTTAATAAAATATTAATAATTTAAATACAACGATAGAATTATATACTATAGGATTTAAAAAAAAAAAATCCTTTAAAATGCAAATTACCTGTTTTGGGCACTTTGATGGGAAGACACCTCCCCGCCACTGTACTATCAGTCAATGAAAACAGTCTTCTCAACAGTGAAATAGTAACAGGCTGTACCAGCAGTGATGTCACATTTGGCTTAATTTCCCACGAGTTGCCATCTAGATGGAAGGAACGTACATAGATTACTTATTTAGATCATCATCTGTTCTTGTGAGAACAAGAGAGCATCTGTGTTATAGCTAAATTCGTGTATTAGCATATTGTTTAATAAAAAAGAATTTACAGCTCTTCTGTTGTAATGCTGTCTAGTCAGAGGACATGTTTATCTCTTAATCACATTTTTTTTTATATGCACATTTAATAGATATTGTGGTAGGTTAAAGTTTTTTTTTCATTATTTTACTGAGTCTGATGTATACTGCTTAAAGCACAACTCTAGTATATTTGTTTGCCAACATTGATTAGTTGTTTATATTTCATATTTAGAATATTGTTTCCTGCCAATTTAGGTCAGATCAAGAAAAATCTCCCCACTCGCAGGTAATCAGACAGAACAGAAAGTGAGAGGAAATCCCTCAGTCGGGACAAAAGAACATTGAAAACACATTTTTATAGTGTGGGTGAGATTTCTAGCCTGTTTGCGTCCCCATGAGGAAAAGTTGACCTGTCTGAGTGATGGGTGTTGGACAGAACAGGAACAGAAGTAAGATCTGCTTTGTGGGGGCACCGACATCATTTAAAATCTGACATAAAAGTCTTCTCAACAGGGACACAGTATTTAAAGCCCAAAACATGATCTTTTTCCTGCCTAATTGCAGCATTCAGAGTTTTGTAATTGTTTTTTAAAGGATATGTTCACCTTTGGAAAATGTCACATGTTCCAATATCTGCAACCTCTCCCTTCAATCCCCCCTCCTTATGACACCTGCTATCACAATTGAAAAACAGCAGGGCTCCACCCATATGGCCACATCATATATGCACAGTTTCTTGTGAATGGATAGACCACAAATATCATCAGCAGGGGCGGACTGACAACTCATGGGGCCCCCGGGCAATAGGGGATCATGGGGCCCCTGTGTCCTTGCGCAAACTAAAAAAAGCCTATGAAAAAGGTACCAGGGGCATCTCGTGGGGTCCCCTACTGACCCCGGGCCCTCGGGCAGTGCCCGAGTTTCCAAATGGTCAGTCCGCCCCTGATTGTCAGCCATTGCGGATGATGGCTTGTAGTTCTCAATGAACGACGAGGGTTTTTTTTGAGTGCTCTCATACAGTAGTTCATTGATCTTCCTGCTCTCAAGTAACTGCCTGCCAGTATCGAAGGTACAGGCAGACAGCTACCCCAAGAGTCTGCAGGAGCCTGTGATTACACCTGCAATCTGCTAATTGCAGGTGCTATGCTCTGCAGGCTCACTAGAAAAAAAATGAGCATTTATTTATTTTTTCAAAAGGTGAACCTAGCCCTTAAAGTGGAGTTCCACTCACCCGGTCAAAATATAAGTTAGCAGCTACAAAAACTGTAGCTGCTGACTTTTAAAAAACAGCCACTTACCTGTCCCTCACCATCCGTCCTGTATTTCAGGAGGCCGGCATCTTCAGTGTGGGAACCCAGCATTGATAACTTGCGGCTTCACAGCCAGGTACCCACTGCGCATGCGCAAGTAGCGCTGCGCTTCATGAATGGTCCTGTAGTCTTCTGGGACCTGTCACGTGTCCCAAAAGACTACAGGGAGGGAGAACACCTTCCATTTCCGATCACCTAGGTGATCGGACCGGAAGTGGGAGCGGGTACCTGTCAAATTCGGATACCCGCTCCCCCCGCCCCCCAAAGGTGCCAATCCTTAATGGGGAGCGGGGAGCAGTCCTTAAAGCAGAACTTCCCCTTTTGGGTGGAGCTTAGTTTTAACACCTTCTCGCCCAGCCTATAGCAGATTAAACGGCCGAGCGGGACACTCGCCGTTGTGACTGGGCTCACATTCTTAGCGGCTGCAGGGCCGAGCAGCAGCGAGATCTGTCACCAGCTGTGTCCATGAGACACAGCCAATGACATATCACTACAGTGTCATGTTGCCAGTGTCATGTGACTTTTTTGGCATACTGCAGTCGACTCTTCTTATTCTTTGACCAATCACAGCAGATCAGTCAATAGTATACAACTACACATGGGGGCTTTTGGCACTGCAGTCGACTCTTCTTATTCTTTGGAGCTTCCTGTCATGTATGTATCAAAAAATAAAAAACTCAGTGGTGATTAAATACCACCAAAAGAAAGCTCTATTTGAAAAAAAATTATAAAAATTTCATATGGGTACACTGTTGCATGAACGCGCAATTGTCATTCAAAGTACAACAGCGCTGAAAGCTGAAAATTGGTCTGGGCAGGAAAGAGATATAAGTGCCCGGGATATTGAAGTATTTAATTCACTGTGCTTTTGAACTTGTAAGAAAGTTTGGCTATTTCATGAGAGCCAACTCCCCAGCACAGTCTTCTCCATCCTTGCATGACATAGAATTTTTCTTCTGTTAATGCCTAATTACTGTCCATGCTGGCCCAGTATCTCTTCCCCTACCGTCACATCTCTACCTATTCTTTTAGGTATCTGATGGAGGTATAAAGGTGAATACCATAGTGTGTCACTTGAGTTTCCTGGGGCTGCTGACATCATATCCAAAATGGCAGCTTCCAGCAGCAGTCTCAAAGCTTTTGGATGTGTACATAAGGAAGGATTTTACAGCTAAATATTATTAGATGCACATATAATTTTATGAGAAGATTTTTGTTTATATGAATGTAGCAAAAGGGTCTCTTTCAGCTAAATTAGTGTAAGCAAATAGTTGTCCTAATTAAACCATTAACTGTTTTCTCTGTATCTTACTTGTTTCATTCTGAAAGGGGTGTACAATCTAAGGTCCCTAACTCACATTCATACATACACATACTAGGGACAATTTAGACAGAAGCCAATTAACCTACCAGCATGTCTTTGGAGTGTGGGAGGAAACCGGAGCACCAGAAGGAAATCCACGCAGGCACAGGGAGAACATGCAAACTTCATGCAGGTTACATGTTTAATTCTGATTTACTAAGTGCTAGTTTGCATGCTGGCTTGCCACTCTCTGATGATGTAGTGTGAATGTATGATGTATGCACTTTAAATACCAGTGCATATCCTCAATGGGACTAGTTGCATGCAATACAATGTAACTCACATCCTCATGGTTCTAACAACCTACTGTTGGAAAAACATCTTCCTGGGCATCTAAGAGAAGGAAAGCAGGGCATTTAGAATGGAAAAAAATAAAGGGAGAATTCTAAGCTAGAAATAACTAAGCTTAAAATGTTACTAAATGTTACTAAACCCAGAACCCTGCATTCTCTATATCTGGTCTCCCACAGTACACAGAACATGGAAGTGCAATTATTTTAGTAAATATAAACTGCTAAATACCTTTTCTCATCAGCAGTTAGAGCACTGGTTAAAGCTTGCAGGAGTTTTTTTTATTCTCTAGGAGGATGCAAAACCCCTGACCTCCTTCTGGACATTGCTGGTTGGCCCTGTGCTGATCACATGCACTCTCCCAAGAAAAAAAACCTCTCAAAACACACTGAACTGTGTGTGTTTGGGGAGGGGGGACTACTGCGAACTGTAGCTGGAACTGTAGTAGGAACAGGAGCCACTGAGCATGAAGTCATTTTCCCTTTTCAGACATAAGCCTTAAATAGTAGGTAGGGTATTGGTGGAGTAAATTGGGGAATACAGAACTTAATCTCATCTTTCTAAATTTGGTGACTTTGTCATGCAGGATGGTTGCAACTGCAATTTGCCTGAGAGTGGATATTTACTCAGTACATACATTTAATGTGGAGGTAAGGAAATAAAGTATCACTGAGGATAGGGCATGGTGTGGAGTGCAATAGGAGGCAGCTGAGAAAACCTGATAAAACCCTATGTATGCCTTTTTTAATCCACCAGGCAAACCTATGTGACTCCTCAATCCCCAGCAGGAAGGAAAGGTTGCAAATAATGGGCACAGTGTGAGGGGAAAGCAGTTTACCTGAATATTTAACAGGATCCCATGATATTAAGGAATGTTTGAGTAAGGGATATGTTATGTGAATGTGTAAGACCTTAGGTTTCATAATACAGTGT